CCCTGCCTACAATACTGAGCCATGACGTATCTCCTATTCCATTCGTTCTCCATTTTTCAGCCATCGAAATAATTATTGGAAAACCAGAAACCTAAAAATTAAAAAACCAAATTAAAAACATCGGAAAAACGGAGTCAGTAAATTTTGTTCAACATTTTTAGCAGAAGTATATTAACAGTAAAAAGGAGAAAAAGAAAACTGTCATTAGACACCTTCCTTGATCGTTTGACAGTTTTATTCTACGACCAGCCCCAGATGCGAGGAATCAATGGCAATCAAAGATTTTACCTTTTGCACCTCTGTAAAGTGAATGTGATGGGATCTGAGGGCAGAACCCCTTATTGGCTACAGGCCATTGTGATTAAATAAACAATGTAAAATCACCTTAGGTTAGAGCCACGTTTTTATCGACGTCCCCAGCTAGGGCGGCCACCATAGCCACCGTAGCCACCGAAGCCACCGCCTCCTCCATTCCCTGTATGAAAGGAAGAATAACACGATGGTTTTTTTTGCGTGTATGAGAAGTTTTACCCAATCTGAATACGGTATACAATTGAAAGGAACAACGCACAGAAACGTAATTAGGTATGTAGCTGCACACATCCCTCTTCGCTTCCGTGATAGTTTAACCCTTAACACGCTAACATCAGGAGGCATATTCTCCACATTTTTCTTAACTCTATTTTTATTGTACTAATAAGGAGAATTTGATTTGTACAACGTTCAAGAACCTCTTCAGTTATCGATCATCTCCTTTACTCTAGCGACTTTAATGTTGATTCAGAGGTGATACTCTGAGGAGGAATTAGTTGGCAGTCATTCTCACGGATTTAAACCCTCGGAGGCATAAAACAAAGAGTAAGAGAGCTGGACATTGAAGACAAGATAGACAAAGAAATTCTCCTCCCACACATAAATATCAATAAATTGTCTGAGATTGAACGAACAGTTATTGCAAGGCGATCTCTACTCTTTAGTGCATATCATAAAACTTAAGGATTACAAAAGAGAGGAAAGAATATTAACCTCCGCTGCAAAGGCCACAACTCTTCTTGCA